CAGATGGGGAAACTCCAATAAAGCTCATATCTTGTTGTAGCATACATAGGCTTGTAATACACATATGCCGTAAACTTACATTTTAATCTTGTAAATTTTGTCATTTCCTGTAACTTAGTTCTTACTGTGAATTCTGCACAGCTCCTTTCTAAATTTGAACAGGTGTGTGATTGCAACTGTCCAAAAAACGTATATACATCTGCATCGCCAACACAGCAACTAGTTTTTTACACTTTTTAAAGTAATTAACAAAACCCTGTGCATTTGCTAATCATAGTCTTAAGGATTAATACCATAATGTTTTCATAAAAGCTACTGAATATAGCACCAAAACTTGAAAAAGAAAATAAGTGAAAGAGAAGGAACCTGTTGTAATCACCTAGTGAAAGCATCCAGTGGTCTTCACAGTCAAGACAGTGCCAGGTGTTATTCTCATGTAACGTCTCATTGATAAGAGCAGCAAACACCTCATTTACAGGAACCTTAGGCTATAAGATCAGGTACTTTAAAAGCCATCCAAACACATTCAGACCCTGCCTGTGAGCCAGCAAATAAAACACCTTGATATCACCACAACTAAACTAGGATGATTCTGTCTTAATGTCCCATTTCAGGGACCAAGGAGCCCATAGTCTTTATGGCTCCACAGAATTGCAGGAAGTAATGTTTGACACAGCAGGAGTCCTGCCTTTCAGATGATCAAAGTGACAAGTTCATCCTGCAACCAGAGCCACTTACAGGCGACATCAAGAAGCAGCAAGATTGGCAGCTTTTAGGTCCTTGGTCCATTTCATCAGCCATTACTACCAGCAGTGGCGGCATGCTGTGGAGGACTAGTGGGAGGAGGGGAAGGCAGATTAACAGACAGCTGATACAGGTGTATAGGCGGTATCAAACAGCAGCTCTGTCAATACTGCAGGCTTCAAAATTCTTCAGATGGGGCTGGGATCCCTAAAGTATGCCCAGTGATTTCACTATGACAGGATTAACTGGGAGCTTCATATGATTTTCTCAGATTCTGTGACTCAACAATTCAGTGATCCACGTTCTATCGGCTTTAAAGGCCCCTATCCCAAGTTTCAAAAGCTTACCCTTCGGACAACGAATGCTCTTTTTCTCCCATGGTTCCGCTTTTCCTTTTTTGCTGCATTCACGTGTTCATCAACCCCCGCATCTTTGCCAACTCTCCCATCCTCCTTTCTCTGCACATCTGCTAGGTTTGGGTTTTCCTTTCTTCCCTCCAGCGCCTTGCTTGGCCCAAGGCCCTTATAGCCAAATTGGTTTACATTGGAGAGATAAATGCTCTGCAAATGCGCTTAAATGCGTACAGTAAAAAATGCAGACAGTGCGTGTCAGGATTATCACCCAAGTCAGGGGGAGAAAGGAGAGCGTCTCTGTAGCACAAAGCTTGGGAGCCAGAGTGAAGCCTGCAGATACAGTCCGTCTCATCCACTTCTCAGGAGAAAGAGAGGAGGATTTAGCATTTGCATGCTAGTCTGTAATTCCTAGCATTATATAACTTGTCGCCAACAATCAAACTCCTGTGGTATTGTGAAAGTATTGTTTCACATGGGTGAGCAAAGTGCGGAGTTTCACTTTGGGGGAAGGTGTTTTTTCGTGGTGCTGTACAGTGGCAGTTGGTCCAAGATGCATCCCGGAGACCACCCTGTAATCCCAGTTGGAGTAGCTATTCTTCAACACAGCCTGAGGCCCAACTAGAGAACATGCACTTAAAAATCCTGAAAATATACAGCTTAGCGCATAAATGACTTACTTGGGCGTGTGATATGTTCAAAGGGCAATTTAAAGATTTTTCACCAGAGATGAGGGATCAAGGATTTAGCACATTATAGCTACTTATGCTGTTCCCCCTGTGTGAGTGTGCCATGTCCACATCTGTAAATAAATCATATTGCATGAGTTCTTGTTGCGCTCAGACTGTGATGTAGGTGCTGTAACAATACAAGTTGCCTTTATAGGCTACTGACAAAGAAACCGTGATGCTCAGTGTGTGTTCTTTCTTTGAACTTACACAGTTTATATTTATTGGGATGGTGAAACACTATGAAAATGAACCCTTCAGGTGGTTAAATGTCTTTAACACTTTGCTAAGCTTATTCAGTATTTGTATTCAGAGATGGGCTGTAACGCGTTACTGTAATCCGATTACTTTGTTCAAGTAACAGGTGATGTAATTAGATTACTGTTACTTTCCCGTAAGCACACTGCGTTACTGCGTTGCTAAACTGTCGTGATTTTATTTGTGAGAGTGTCTCATGACAATAACGTAACCGCGTGTGACAGACATGTGCAGATCAACAATGGATAATATGGAGCGCGGGAGAGAGTACGACCATGCAGCGTTTAAAGTGTGGACGTACTTACATTACTTTAAGTTTTAGTCTGTAAAAAGTGACAAAAACATTAGCGTCCGCTGTACGCGCGTGGGAGGAAAACTTCTTTCTGCAGTGAAAAATTTAACTTCAAATCTGAGCGAGCACCGAGCACGCTGCCACGGGAATGTGACATTCATAGACAAAGCACCGGACCCCCCCACTGACATGACCGCTGTATTCAGGTGGTGTATCATGTTTTTAAAAAGTAACTAAGTAACTAATTACTTTTGAAAATATGTAATCAGTAAAGTAATGGGGTTACTTTTTTGGAGACGTAATCAGTAATTAGTTACTAATTACTTTTTTCAAGTAACTTGACCAACACTGTTTGTATTATATCAGCGGTCCCCAAACCCCGGGCCTCGGACCGGTACCGGTCCGTGAGTCGTTTGGTACCGGGCCGCGAGAGTTGAGGCTCAGGTGTGAAATGTATAGTTTTCAGGGTTTTTATCGGTTTTCAGCGTTATTTTGTTATCGTTTTTATCATTAACTCGGTTTTCCTGGGTCTTTTCACGTGTGTTATCAATAAATCTTCTTTTTTCGGTACCGGTACTAGTTTTATTTTGTTGTATTTATCCGCGACACCTTAAAGGCCGGTCCGTGAAAATATTGTCAGGCATAAACCGGTCAGTGGGGCAAAAACGGTTGGGGACCGCTGTGTTATATGACACACACAAAATCCTGTTTTTAATTTCTGTGTCCACTTTTTATGTACAGTCTATAGGACTGACATCATCATTTCCATGTTTACAGCATTTTCACTGCTAACAAAGAAGCATTATTCTCTAAGATAATGTTAAAGCATATTCAGTTTGATATTGCTTCCTTTCTGGCACTGTTCAGAAATGACAAATACAAGATTTGATGCACAGGGAAAAGATGCAACAACTCAAGTGAAGCCATTTCCAATGACAATGTTCAGACTCACATATGAAGAGTGCAAAGCTGTAATGGTTTGGGCTTAACATATGGTTTCCCATTGTATTGTGTACTGCAAAGTTTACTTTAAATGCAATTGCATGTTTTAATAAAAATTTTAAATTTTTCAGTGTAACTTAAGGAGCCCGTTACAGGCTATACGCTGTAAAACAAAAATAAGCTTATCTACACAGAGGTATTATCTTAACCTCAGAAAGCCTACAAGTGTAAAAGAGACATGCTTCTAGGACGCTGTGCCATCACAAGGTGAAAGAGCCTTCACTTTGCAAAGGCAGGCAGGCAGGGCTTATACAAAGTGAAGAAACAGCTTTCTTCCTTCCCACCTGCTGCTGCTGTCGTCCCCTGGGGGACACGAAACTGCTGTCCCTGTCTGCTAGCATCAGTGTAAAAACCCTCCACATGCTCTTCTGTTTGGATTTGGATGTAAAACTCCCAAGAAAGACCAAAAGCAGCCCCCCCCCC